GGCCCGCAAAATTTAGATCCTTGGTGCAACAAGTAGGAATATTCCTGAAATACGTGTTTTACTGGTCACATTTATGCAACAAAATTTTAGACCCGAACTACCCCTGCAGAAAAAAAAAAAAGATTCGCTTTTTTGTACTGGTAGTTTAGTCTTGCAATATGTTTGCATAAATGTGGCCAGTAAAACACGTATTCAGAGAAATTTCTACTGGATGCGTCAAACCGCTGAAGTTTCCGGGTCATTCTTTTGCGGAGCGTCTTATTTGGGGACACCAGGTAGTTAGTTGTCACAATGTCCGTGTCCGTTTGTTTATGTCCTTGTCCCTTTTTCTCCAGTCTCGGGTTTACCAAAATGCTCGGTAAAGGCTCCGACTGCTGCAGGTGACCCTTATGGGGAGAACCCACGGAACAAATAAAACAAGGACCTTCTCCTCCTCTCCCCCCCCCCCCCCGCAGCCCCCCCCCCCCCTTTTTTTTTTGAGCCACATTCCGGGTCTGCCCCCCCCGGGAAAATGGAAACTCTACGCCGCTGCACCACAGGACAGGAGGTAGCGCTGGATGGCTTCCGAGCCGAAAGGAGAGGTGAGGAGTGGTGAATTGTTACTACCAATAGACCGATCTCACCAGCTAGTTAAAGTCAGGCTCTGGTTTAAGTACGCCACCGCTGCCGCCTTGCAGCGTGGGAGCTGTGGTCTTTCGGCACGCGCGACAACCCCGCTGGAGGTCTGCACGAGCAGAGCACAAGGCGGCATGAGCTCTCTCGTGAACTGGCGTCTGCCTCCTACGAACTACAGTTAGGGCGGCGTCACGCATGCGTGGAACGCTTGGTGAATTCGGTCTATTGACCAAAAAAAAAAAAAACACAAAATGCCTGCTTTTAAAGAATCGACTGCATGCACGAGGTTAACAAAATGCGGTTTGCAATGTGGCTGCCTTTGAATGCCACAAATACTGTGCATAGAGCAGACTACTTTTTCCTTCCCTCGTGGAAAACGGGCGCACATGGTTGAAAAAACCCCGAGACTGCGGGTAAACGACACAACACTAAAAAGTCTCTAAAAACGGGTGCATTGTTTAGGGTGTGCACTGAAAAGCATGAGCAAAGCTTTCCCACCGTGGCTAGTTCTACACTCCAAGAAAAAGGGGGTGTACACGGGTACTCCCCTTGTCCCATATGTAACTCCCCAAAACTACATTTCGACGTTCTGTCCACTGACGTCGAGCTAGGGGTACCAACTTTTAAGAGCGGCTTGATAGTCGACCAATACAACTTATTAAAATAGCTCATGTACTCATTAAGGGCTACATTCAGACAGTCAAGGTTTTTTCAGCCGGGCTGCAAAGCCTCAGTAATTTTTTTCTAGCCTTTCATGCGCACATCAGCTATTTAGTACGTTATATCCAACAGCTATCAAGCCGCTCGTAAAAGTTGGTATCGCCAGCTCGACGTCAGTGGACAGAAGAGCCTGCACAGCAGCGCTCTTCTCGTGACGTCGCAAAGGAAGGCCATCGGGGGGCGCGCGTCGAAGCGAAGGCAACGCGCGTGGATCGATTATCGTAACGTGCTTTTAGTCACACACGCGTGTCATATTAGCTAAAATGAAACCTGCACACAGCAACGGGTCTAGAAAACATTTTATTACACGAGAAAAATATTACACCGCTAAATAATCGGTACGAAATGGCAAGAGGTATGCGCAAATTGTTTTAAGTCGAAAACATTGAGTCACGCAATTATTGTTGTAGGAATGCATATTTTATACAGAAATACTTCGACGAAATGGCGAGACACGCAGTGATTGGAAACAGCAAAACAGATCAGTCATAAAAACAGGTAGACGTGCGGTAACCTAGTTCTCACCTTCCATTGAAAACTAGGTTACCGTGCATATTTACAAATGTCGACGCAACTGCACACGAATAACGACAAAGAACAAAATTCCAATCTATCACACGATTGCTGCATTTTACTTGCGTCCTGCATGACCAAGAAAGCCCGTAAATAAGTTTTTTCTCACCTGTCGATCGTATCCATACGTTCCACAATATCCGTGACGAAAACATTTGAACACGAACTCCAAGAAGCCTCTCTCTGTCGAGAGCGAGGCCTATCGATTAATTGACCAGAGTCATCGTTGGCTAGTTGTCACACATGTCACTCAAACCGTAGCAGGACTTGTTTCGCGAATCCACGTAAATGCCGTAGTATCAAGCGAACACAAAAAAAACTACCCGAGACTACGGTAATGACAGAAATACGACGGAAAAGAAGTCTCGAAAGTACCACACAGGAGAACAGCGGTGACGAAAGGCTTAACGTTGTCGACCCATCTCTTGCTCGTGTGCGCTCCCTGCGACAATGACTGGATTTTTCTTCGGTTTCCTTCCCTTCTGAAATGTCTCAGCGTTCCTTTTCAGACAGTCAGCAGCTCACACACAACGTAAATTTACCAGAATCGGAGCCCGTAGGAGGGAAGATGTGGCATCGAAGACGGTTCTTTCGAAAGGTACGGGGAGCTGCGGGACTGCACGATGTCCCGCGGTTACGGGGATACTCATAAATATAAATTTGGTACTCTCAACCTTGGTAACGCGTTGTACATTACGTTTATATTATATATATAATAAATTGTACAAGACTGCGCCTTTAAAACGTATATTAATGTCGGATAAACGCGCACGAACACCACCGCGCCGCTTGACAAGAAACATTTTTTTTCACGTCGATAGCATCAATAGCAGATATTTTCTCACGTAGTTGCGCCATGGCCTTCCTTCCTCCGACATTGTGACGTAACCTCTCAGAGCGCTATGGCCTTCTCCTCTAGGAGGTGTTGGCTCTACCCTACTGTCACACTCCCTCTAACGCTCCTCTAAACCCGCCTTCCATACTTCCCCCAGCTCTTCCGCCTGCTTCTCGAAGCCGACCCGCTGCTCCCTCTCACGATTAAGCTGCCTAGTCAGCTCCTCAACCTGGGCCTCGAGACCCACCCGCTTCTCTCCTTCTACCTTAGGCTCGACCTCAATCTCCCGAACTCTACCCTCCCATTCCTTAGTTACCTGCTTAAGCTTCACACAAAGCCGACACTCGAAATTCATCCCCGCCGCCTCCTCCAGACTCCCGAAACCCGTCTCCTCTAGGTAACACAAACTCCCACACCCCTCGCATTGCATCAACCCGTCCTCACCCTTGTCATGCCAACCCAAATCTAGACCCATCTCTAGACCGGGAACAAACCGTCACCTCCCGCCAAAAATTCAAACAGAGCCTACTTTACGAAACTAACTTCTTAGTCACTTCCTATCAGCTCTCAAAAAGAGAGAGAAAAGAAGAAAGGCTGGCACTTAGCCTCGGATGCCACTGATCTCTATTGTAGTAGGCTGGATCGCGGACCGCGGCCTCGGCAGCTGGGGCCGAGTGTCGCCACCGGCGGCCATTGATTGACACCAGCCAATGCATGGGACTCTATGAGAAAAACGAGGAAAAGTGACGTTTTCCTCTGCTTCTAAGCTGTTGTCAGCACTGAAACTTTTTGGATGTTTTTCAATAAGCCCGTCAAATAGTTTGCGTACAAACATTAAAACTGAGAGCCCTCGCAGTTCTTATAAAAAAATATTTTGTGGTCGAGAGTGACTCCGCTGTAGTGCAGCTCAATGAGGCGAGAGTTACCTAGAGTTACCGCGGAGTCGATGGCGGTTTCGTTGAGTTGGGTTTAGCAGACGACAAGCTCGAAGGCTTTGCTACGAGATTTCGCTCACTCCCGGAGAGCCGCTGTCGAGATGGAACTTCTTTGTCCTTCATCAAATTCTGGGCTTCCCTAAGGACGGTCTTATTGACGGAAAGTTCCTTTGTTTATTCCACTACGAGAGCAAGCTTGCCAGCTCAGCCGTGGGTGCTCCGGTACGTTTGATTTTTTCATTCGGCGACCGGACGTTTGACAAATACCAATTCAATCTCCAAACACCCGACATAAGGATCGCAGCGCACCATAAAATACTCGCCTCCGAGCACAGCGTACATGCTTCAATATGCTCACTTTTGTGCGTTTCTCCCATAGACTTGCGTGTATTGCCTGGTGTCAAGCAATGGCCGCCGGTGGCGACACCGACGGGCTCCCGATCCGCGATCCAGCCTACTAAAATAGAGATCAGTGTCGGATGCTCGAGGAGAACCAGAAAACACGTCCGCTCACCCTGCGTCAATTACGTATTCGAGCAAATTCGAGTCCGCTATATTTTGGGCGTTTTGGGCACATACTCTGATCGCCCTTCCCTTGGTCCCCTCCCCCCTTTTTTTTTTCTTTCACTCCAAAAGAAACGAACAAACAAGGTATACGATAATGTGACGGACACAAGGAATGCGTCAGCGTTCGGCGTAAACTCGCTGACGCTTGGTTGCACTTGCAAAACACATCCACACGGTGTCGATTCTTGATCGATGTCCAAGCATGCGAAGGCACAGAGACGCAGCAGTTCGGCGTGCTAAGGAAACTTTGATCACGCCGCGCGAGACTGTTGAAACTTGCTTTCGACGAGTTGTGCCTTTTTTTTTTCTAATGCACTGCGCTTTTGTAAAAAAGTCTACATATTTTCAACGGAAATTCTCACGGCTTACACAGCATCTTAAAAAACTTCTATGACGAATGACGACGATCGAGTAGAAATTGTCTCTCCAGCACGGTGCCGCCAGGCTCTGCAACGCTAGCGAAACAACCATTGATCTACGAGCAAGATGGCTGTCCGGTGGCTTCATAGAGATCAGTGGGTGGCTTCACTTGGCTTCACTTGGCTTCACTTGCGCTACAGCAATCAAGCGGGAAGACAGGGAGCAACGCCCCTAGCAACGGTCTGATTGGAGCGGCGACGTTAGAATCCTTTGAAACAATTTCTTGTCACCGATTATTTCATTCTTATTTCCAGAAGCATCGGTAGCGGACGTAAAGCAGGGCACTGGTAGCAAGCGGATCTCCTTGGAACGTAGCGCGAAGCTTGCTGATGTCCGCGCCACCAATCGCCAGCAACACTAATGGATGGCAGAGATGGCGGAGGCTGAGCGCAGACCGAAAATCAAGGTAAAGAAAAAGAATACCCGACGCAACGTATCACCTCTGAACGAACAGGACATTCCATCCCCGCCGACTCTAGACGAACTGGGTGTCTCGGACGTAGCATCTGGTGTCAAAGGACAAGCTGCCGAGGACAGTTCGACCACCGAGAGCAACCCACCTGCTCACTCAGCTGACCTGTCACGAGAGGCGGGTGGCGATAACATCGGCAACGCCGACGACAACAATGACTCAGAGACGGTTACGACCGCGGTCGATGACGATGAACAGCCAGATTCTGCCGAAATCGGTGCAAAATCGGAGGCTGGAGTGGACCGAAATGAAACTTCGGCGGATTGTGCTGGTGGAAACGCGGATCCGGGGTGCGTCCGACCAGATACGGACTCGCGACGTAGTGCCGACGCGGCCGCTGTGGAAGGATCAGATGGAACGCGCGATGTTTTGGCGACCGAAGCAAAAACGGACGCCGCCGTTGTGAGCGAGATCGCGTTGGAGTTGCCCCCTACAGCTCCTACGGAAACGCAGGCAATTGTTTATTCTTTTCCCTTGTCCCCTACCGAAGAAGCCAACGCTCCTGCGCTCGAGAATGAAAGGTACGAGCTTGCCCAAGCAGCTGCTCGTCTAGAAACTGAAGCCGCTTCGTCACGAGAGGAGAAAATCCTCATCCATCGAAAAAAGATCAAAAGGCTGTACCCCGATCTCAACCGGCTCGTAGACGACCAGCCAGCCATGCGACCCTTCGCCGAGGATCAGATATTGACCCTCTACGAAAACCCTTTCCTGCGCCAGAAAGACGCCATTGTCGCCGACTTTGTAGACAGCAACACGGAGAAGCAGCTCGAGTACCACGAGTTGTACAAGCTGCTCAGCGAGTACATGAGATCAAGGCAAAATCTGATATCCACGACGAGCACCATCGCAACACTGCGGGAGGATGTGGAGAGCCTGAGGTCTGGAATCTGGGACATTGTGCCCGACGTCGTGTCAGGAAGGGGAAGGTGCGCTGACAACCGGAAGGTGAAGGGCGAACACTACTTCAACTATGGCCTCTACAACGAAGAGGTAGCAGACAAAATGTCGCAGTGCCTCCAAGATGTGCGCAAAATCACCAAGGAGAAGTACGCCCTCCACGTCCACAATGCAGAAGTGCTGCGACTTCAGATCGACTACTACATCCATATGGTGTTGGACGTTCCTCTCTTCGCAGACATGCCAAAGAACACTCCCGTCAGCAACGGCATGCGGGGTAGGCCCTCCCAAGATGATGCAGATGCCGTGGTGGCCGTCCGGAGCTGCATCAGTGTGCTCTTTCTGTTCCTGAGAAAGCCTCTCAAGGATGAAAAATTCCTGAAAGACGTCCAGTCATGGCTGAAGACCATGGCAGCATTCTTGTTGCGTGTAGCTTTCCTGCAGGACCACCTGTTTCTGCTCAACCATGTGCTGCGCTGTCCTCCAGGAATCTACAAGTGGGCTACTAGCCTGGTGCAGATCCCCCCTCCATCACCATGGTCACCGTACACAGACTGGCCTGTGGCATTTGACTCTTTGCTTCTGGACTACGCCATCGCTGCCCTTGCAACTATGTTGCTTCCCGTGGAGGCAAGAAGCGAATATCTGGAGCAGGTCCGGTCAGCCTTGCTGGAGTCATCGTTTCAAGATCCCTGGGTTTTCCTGGACTCCGAAGGTGAAGAGGATGAGGAGCCCGAGAATTCCATGCTCAACTGGCGTGAGAATGATGTTGTTGCCTTGCTGAATCAAGTTCCGTTTGCTAGCATCTTTCAGCACCTGCTCTTTGTTACACAGCAGAATGACGAGTACAGCTATGAAGTTGTGAGGACAACTGAGCAGGGGCTCTTGAAGCTCATCTCCGTGGCATCGCATTTGGTCAATATCCTTCATGCTGGCCTGAAGACATACAACCAGTCAAGGTACAAGCAGCTAACTAAAAGGATCTGCCGCCTGATCCGCCACACGGTTCAGTATGTATCTGATCATTGGCTTAATTTTCGATCAGCAGAGAATGTCAAAGACCAGGCCATGCTTCTGCGCCTGCAGGTTGAGTACGACCAGTTCTTCCTTCGCGCCGTCAACTGCATCTTCTACTCCCAGAGCTTAGGTGCCTGGCAGTTCATGGCTATTCTGCCCTACACTTGTGTGTCCACTGTCATGATGTGGCAGCTGCTTTGGCTACTCCACAATAACTACCAGGATAAGATTGAGCTGGTAGACCTGTCACCAAGTGAGGTGTGCAACAAGTTGCAAGACAAGAGCAGAAAACTCTGCTTTGAAGAGAAGCTTAACGACATGCCTCAGTCTGAAGTTTACTTTCTCATGACCTCTTTCTCGAACATGGCTGCTTCCAGAGGAGAAGACGGACGTGCTCTCACCCACGTCATTGCTTCAGAGATCTTTGAGATCTCCTACGTCAACAGGAATTTGAGGCAGCTTTTTGCAAAAGAAGGGAGGGACTTGCTTTGTTCCCTCGCACACAAGCACCCATTCATCATCTCGGTTCTACTTGATGAAATTGATGACCACATGATGGAGGTTGGCAACATGGCTTGCTACCTGATGCAGTCCATGCCGCTCCAGCTCTGGGTGCCTGACAAGCAGGATTTGGACATCATATCACACTTCCTGCTTTACTACCCCCTGGACTCACCACAGAGCCAACTGGCGAGGCTGCTGATCCAGAACCTGAACTATGGATTCAACAACAAGCAGGAGACATTTCTTGACCAAAGCACACATCGGCAGCTAGGACTTCTACTGCTCGAGGCCTACGAGAAGCTGTATGTCCCATTTGAAGCCTCTGGCTATGTCTACAAGCAAGTGAAGTACTTTTCATACATAGCCACGGCTACCAAAGAGTCCTCGACACCTGCGGGGTTTGTGGCTTGGATGTGGGAAATGCTGTTACAGCTGAGGCTCCACATCTTTGATTGCCAGCATCCCCTGCAGCTTGAATTCATCGTCAGTGACAATCCCCCTGCTGAACTGATTCCAGATATCCAGAAGTGTGATTGGCTTCATCCTGTGCTCCAGGCCAACAAGAACCTACGACCTCCTTCGCTGTTTCTCTCAGTGTCCATCGGAACTGTTGGTCATTACAGAGAGGAGGTACTTGACAGCGGCCTTAAACTCATTTCGACTCTAGTCCTTAACGAGCAGTACAGTGCGGCGATCCATTGTGTGTCCCATGTTCTGCCGCTCTTTTATTTGAAGCCAGAAATGTTGACAAGCAACAAGCGCTTCCTCACTGACTTGCAGTACCTACTGCTGGCAGACAACACCTACCTAGCAATGGCCAAAAGCATAGTCATGTCAGAGTTCCCAGGCTGTATCTTAAAGCAGTTGGCTGTTGTTATTGTCGGCCACGTAGAGCAAGCAGCACAGTGGTCACCTGACTTTGTGTCACTGCCGATCAAACTTTGGATTGCCCTGCTCTTCAGACTTCCCGACATCCCCATTCACAAGGGCGCCTTGGCCAACAAGGCAAAGGGTAGAGAGAGCGTCATGTACTTACTGGACGTCCTCGTGCAGTTAGCTTACCTCGAGGCAAAGTGCTTTGACAGCCTGCTGACAGCCTTTGCAGAGTCACTTACTCAGTTTGTTCCAATGACCAAGTCAAACTCTGTTGTGAAGTCAGTCTTCTCTTATGTCCTTGGAAACCAGACATTGTCCTGGCCGGCCCTGGTGCCTCTTCAAGCTGCTCCTTCATTCCCTTGGTTTGCTTGGGCCGGGATGCTTGCAGAGGCTCAAATCCCACATGTTAGGGAGATGTGGATGGCACTGCTCAAGGAAATGGCAGAATATCCAAAGCTGACTCCAGATGCGGCCCTAAAGAAGGCATCGGCAAACTTAAAGATGTCCCCTCCTTCTGTCGATGTTCTTTTACTGTACCGCTGGGCTCAGCAGGCATTGCAGACAGACGTCGAGCATCCAGCATTGCCGCTTATCTGGCAGCAGTTCTTTCTGCTCTATCTGCAGAGGTTTCCCGTCCCAAACACAGGGAGTGCTGGGCAGCGTTTCTTTGAAAGTGCCACGCACTTCAGCCTCTTGAAAAAATTGAAGCGGCGGCTGAACGAGCTGGCTGACCATTTCTTCTTGAAGCAGTCCCGGCTTTCTCAGTCACTGCACGAACTACCTGACTTACAAGATGCTAAGGGGAAAACTGCTGCAGTTGTGACCCAGTTGAAGGACAGTGCTGAACTCGTCCAGAAGCTACTGAAGATGTATCGCACCTTCTGTTTGTGGCTGGAAGAACCAAGACTGCACAATGCGAACATTGTCCTGACAGCACTACCACCTCAGTACTACCCTGAAGCCCTTGGTGTTCTTCTTCAGGGGAGTGGTGACCTGTGGCATGACCTTGTGCATGTAGATGTGGCTAGAGAATCCCTGAAAGCCCTGCTTCCCAAATACCACGCTAAGAGCAGCACATGTAAGAATGCGGCACCAAGGACACTTGAAGCAAATTCAATGCCAGAAGAATTGATCTTGAAAAGGCTCAGGTCATATGAGGGACCTATGCCAGCTCCAGCAATCCCGTCGTTGCAAAGGGTCATCCCTGCAGTGTCAACAGACATGTTCAGGGTCCCAAACCAGATGATGACGTTGCTTTCCTCACAGCTAAAAGTTCTCACTGGACAAGCACGCATGTTCAATGCTCAAGCTGTGAAATTGGCAAGTCTGGACTCTGCGTACATGGAGTGGATCCCCAACCTCTATCAAAATGTCCCCACATACACTGTACTCACCATTCCTTGCGACTACCAAGAGAACTGCAAGGGACGCCTGCACTTGAGACTGCAGTATGCAGAAGCCCGTCTTGCCCAAGATGTCGCAAAGGTGACGGAACAGAACAGATCAGAATGGATGGGGCTACTGATGGACTTGCAGCGTGCTCCCTCTCGCACTGCATGCAGTGCTGTTGTCCATCTGGAGGCTTGCATTACCCAGCTGGTTCAGACTCATCGCTGTGGTGCTACGGACGCAAAGATGCTCCAGGCCCTCGGAAGCGAGATCTTCTTCGAGTTAGTAAGGACGCTGAACAAGGAGACGACCGACTATTTTCCAGCCCGTCAGTTCCTTACATCCTGTCTTGACATGCTCGGGCAAGAGTTCGTGTCTGGTCACGAAGACCAGTGCCTTCCTGTGCTGAAGGTCATCCTCAAGGATCCCAGCCTGGTTGGCCACGTGGCTCCGTTTTTTGCTCCTGCAGCAGTCAACAATGAGCAGTTTGTCTTGATGTATCACACTGTGACGTCATGTATTGCGCCGGCATTTTACAACGCCGTCTTCGTACTGCTCACAAAGTTTGACCTCCCGAGGTGGCTTCATAGCCAGAATGTTGCCTTTACGACACGTACAAAGCTTCTCGAGAGCATTGAAAAGGCATTTGCCAAGTTTGGCCTGAGTCCTGAACGAGAGGTACTGCCCTTGCTGGAGCTGTACCACACCCACCTTCACAGCCTGCTGTTGTTCCGCTTCCCAGAACATTTCGGGAGCATCCTTGCTATGCTGCTGAAGGGAGTCGATTTCTGTTCTGTTCCGGCAGCTACCTGGTTTGTCTTCCTGCAAGGGCTGGGCTTCAGCGCTCCACCAGAGAAATTAGCACGTATTGAGCAGCTTGGCTATATGGAGCAGTATGCACGACAGCAGTGCCTCCTCAGTGCCTCCCAGATTGCAGAGACCTTGGAGGTGCTTACAAAGCACTTCAGAAACCTGCGTAACTCGGACCATGCCACTTCTAAGAATGGGCTGTATAGCAAGGTGCAGCCGTACCTGGTTCCCGTGTCCATGTTTCTTGAAATGATGGCACACTGCTTCCTCTGGGAGAAGCTCAAAGGAGTTGACAACGAGCTTCCAGGTGCGATGCAGCGTGTCCTGGAGTTGTACAGCCCCTGGCTTGAACTGACGGATGGCAAGAAGATTCTTGTTCCCTGGACCATGACTTTGGACTCTAGAGAAGTTGCCTTCATGTTGGATGCCTTCACCAATCTGCTTTCTTTCTTCCACAAAAACTGTCACGGAGTGCGTGTCTTCAGTGTTCTTTCCGAAGTCTGGAGGCGCTACTTCATTAGCTATGTCTGGACCAGTGCACCGGACTACATCACATCTGTTTTGCAGACGGCACTAGGCAAACTACCTTGGAGTCAGTTCATGCCTTCCCTCGAAGACTTGAAACTTGCCCACAAGCTGCTGGAAGCAAAGTATGCCGGCCACCTCACATTTCTCTTGATGGTGTTCAAGCAAGTGCCGTGGCAGAGGACCCTGAACTGCATCTGCGAAAGGGAACCAGAGAATGTGCAAGAGTTCTACTCCCTTTTTGCTGAGCTTTTTGTAAACCTCGCTTGGCATCCCGACATGGTGCAAGACAATTTTGTGCCGTCGCTAATCCCCATTTTGATTGCACTCGACTGGAGTTTTCTCCAGCCAGAATTGGTGAGCAAGCTACAAGACGTATTTGCAAGTGGTTGCAGTCCAACTCGAGTTCTAAAGCAGAGCCCAGGTAGGGAAACGGATCATGTCATGCTTGAGTTCATCAGCTGCCTATCCTGCATGACGTCTACGGAGAGCAGAATCAAACAGGATCTGACCACCACGCTTCGGAAACAGCAAGCCTTCATCGGCATGCTGGTCAAACTCTGCAATCAGGCAATGGAGACCACACCCTCTCTCCTCCGCCATTACTCAAAGGAAGTCCAGCAGGCTTTGCCCAAACTCATGGATCAGTGCCGCATCATCATCGACGTCCAGTCGGAGCTCCGCTACGTCCAGTCCGAGGCCCTCGTCAGCAAGGCTCTGTCTCTGATCAGCATCACAACCGACCCAACTGTTCAGGATGCTCTCTTGGAAGGCCTCCTCCTGTGGGTGCAAGAGTGCTCTGGTGACCTTTTCCTCCTCCCACTCCTCCACTGTGCCTGCGGGAACCTCGCTTCGGTGTCCCATATGGTCAAGGTCACAGAGGCTTGCATTGCATCATACTGTTCCCCAGTGTGTGGCACGTTGCCAGCAGACGGTGGTTGGGCGCACGTCTTGTCCTCCTTCCGTGTCCCCGAACTGACGCTCTCCGACTTCTTCCTGTCCTGTTCCCAGCATTCCGCGTACCTAACCCAGTTCTGCTATCTCTTGTACTGCCTTCCACGCTGTCGCTGCCTCGCTGACGAACGGGTCTTGCTCGGCCGGCTGGCCGAGTGGATCTCGCAGAGCTGTCCCAGCGGAGAAGATGCCGAACCGAAGCTGCTGCTTCTCTGGGAGAAGGTCATCAGCCTCTCGATCCGCCAGCTGGACTTCGACGATGACAACAGCTCCCGTTCCGTGTACAAAACGCTAGAAGACTTCTGCTCCACGCTAGCTGTCCTCGGCGAGGACAAGGTCACTGGTGGGCTTCTGGGAGCCTTTGGCCTTGGGAAGAAATCTGCCGTGTCGGTTCGGTTCCGGTTCTGTTGCCGGGTCATGGGTGCTTTTGTGGCGTCTCAGATGACCGAGACTGGGACCGTGAGGCTAGCACCGATCCAGTCCGACGAACGTCCGTCTGTTACATCTGTGCAAGCGCTGGCGAAGCTGAAGGCCCTACAGGGAAACCGGATGTATGCCTCGCTGACTAGGGAGGTAGAGCAAGCGCTGCAGATGGTGCAGGACCCAAACCGCACGATCAGAGATAGTATCTCTGTGATTCAGATGCTCGTGAACCTTTTTTACTCGGACAAGGTCTATCTGCGGATCCTGTTCTTTGGTGTCATGTGATATCCCCTTCATTCTGAAAAGTTCTTTCTAGAGGGAAGCTCTTAGGGAGAAGGGGCGGAAGTTTTAAGTTTTTGATAAATGAGTGCGAGCTGAATTTATGCTTTTCCTGTAAGAAAACTGTATAAGCCCGGTCTTTGTTATATAATGGAGCAACATACAATGAGCAAGTTATAAGGAGAAAAACAAGCAGCAGCAAGTTTTTTTTACATTTTATTTCTGTGCATATATTGAAATACTAGTGTCGTCTATTGTTCCAGTGGAGGGATTATGCCTGCTCTATTTGGGTCGCTCTAGTATGTGTGCAATAGCACACAGGTGTGCCTTTGGGGGTTAGGATATGTGCTTCCGTACACCACTGTACCATATTGTAATCTGGTGCAAGCGGCCTTTCTTTGAACAAGGTACATGGTTTTCCGGGAAATGCACTGCCAGTGTTTTTGTATGCCAAAGCATCTAAAGTTTCCCCCATGGTTTTTATACAAGCTCTTTGCATTGCTTATGTACAGTGGGGCGTGCAATCAAAAGCTAGGTGACGACAAGTCGGTTACTGGGAAAGGAAACCCAATAATAATATAATTGAGCCCCTATACATTCGGTTCTTTCATGACGAACGCAAGTCCTGTGGACCGCACCATCGATTAGGGATTGTCCTACCCCCAAAGTGTGGGAGTCTGACTACTTTATCAAACTGAACAATAAAAGGATCTCCAAAAATTGTGCTTATGAACTGAAATATTGCAAGGAAAAAACGTCTTTGGGGCGGGGGGAGGCTGGCGATTGGTCTGCTACAGGGAGTACTATTTACCGGCGGCCATGGCTGTGTGTGCAACTGCTAAGCGTGTGCTGATGGCGAGTTTCCACAGTTCCTTCGCAATGTGCATTCCGAACCACCAAAACTGCCCGTCTTAGCAGCCTATTAATGCGAGCTCGTTCCGAGCATGCGCTCAAAACATCGCCCTCAAATATGGCATCCAGTGAATACCCCCTACGGTCACTAACGAGGCAAGAACAGCAGGGTATCCTTTGCTGCCGTGTCCTGGCTGCACGTGCACAAATTGAGGTTGGGGGGACACCCTGACATCATAGAAGGTAGGAACCTCTTGCTGGAAGCAGGACAATTGAAGGTCTTCCTCATTCTGTCAGCGACTAGAGCAGATGGCTGGTGCTAGTGCATTGAGGTTCAATAACCCGTGTTGAATGGGACGAGTACGAGTTTGCACCTCATACCATGCTGGGTTGTAGTTGCCAGTAGAAAGGGGTGAGGGTGAAACACGCTACGGTCACCGACAGAATGGGAAGTGCAGGGTGAAGTAGCTGTCGTCCCGCCTCCCCAACACCACCCTTTGCCGTTTTCCATAAACATACTTTGACCCGCAAGCTTGTTTCAGGATCACTGCAGGGCCACTAACTTGTTTTTCAGAAAAAAAAAAGCTTTTTTTTTTACACGATGTAGCGCAGAATCAGTAATATGTCTAATAAAGGCATAAACTAAAATAGTAAGAGGAAGCACTTGCAGTAGGAGAAAAGGGTCCCTGTTCAAGCTTTCGCAAGCCCAACATAAACCTGTATCTGTAGAGGAATGATGTGGTCAATGGCGAAAATCTTGCATATAGTCGAACTGTGCATGGCGTAAACTACATCCAACATGTCCTGAGAAAGCATGCGGCAACATTTTAAACAAGCCGAGGCAATAGGTGGCAAAAATTGCCATTCTCAGTCACTTGGTTGGCCCTGATCTTGTCTTCAAGTTTTATATCAAACCTTATATAAACTTTTGTCTAACCACAGTTCAATGCAAATACCTGTTTTGGCACTTGATAATATTTATCGCTGCAAATACCCATATGCACCATAATAGAAAAACGGGGGAAGGTATTTTATGTAACATTTTATTGCTTGACAATCTTTGGAACATCATACAAATCCCATACTCAAAACTTTAATGCACACTAGACCCGTGAACAAGTTTTCTCATCTCTTAAACCTCTGACCAGCAACCTGGCTGGGTGCATGAAACAATGTAGTATATGTACACAGTGTAGCCAACAGAATGAGTGCTCCGTAACGTATATACACATGAAATGATGACACTACTCGCAAGAAAACAAGTGAAATGCAAACGAGAGTGCAACCTATGTACAATATCTCTCATGTGATATGTGTAACAGTTAAAAAATGGTACTTGTACATGCCATATCGCCACAGTCATCACTTACATGTTGCAAAAATGTGGCCATGGCTGTTTAAGCTGTACATAATTGCATGGGAGAAAATACATGAACAGCATTCCTCGCCCTTTCAAAGCCTTGTTAGGGAGAATAATATATCCAGATACAATCGAGGCAACCACTAACAACTTGCTGGCAATGTTTAAAAACAAAGTCAAGCTGGTTCAACTTGTTACGGTTCCCTGTTCAACTTTGCCGATTTCTTCCCTGTCTGCCAACAAATTCCAGCATGGACGCATGTTAGAACACTTCATACAGTCTCAAAAGAGGCTTCACATATCCCCTCTATGCAATTCCCATACAAGAAGCAACAAATGCAACAGTGCAGAAAGCACATGCCCCTTGCAAGTCCTCTGAAGAAAAATGGGTGCAGCACTTGTGAAGATGCCGCACGGTACTTTCAACGCTTGTTTGTAACCTGTTGTGCGCTCACACAATTTTCGGTACATGGGTATGAATTTTATCGCGGGAGTTCACACATAGCTATCTCGAGAAAAGAGGCGAAAAATTCCTACCAAGAAAACCTACCAAAATGCAAAATGGACTAAAAATTCTAGAAAAAATAATCCTGAAACTTGCAACAGTAAGCGAGGTATTGGACGGACTCAATACCCATGGACCCCTACTTGACGTAAAGGGGGAAATAAGACGACAAATGACCTTGGAAAGCTTGCACAATTGCGCACGGGCCATCATATTTGGCGGTGGGTCAAGAATTCCCAGTAGATGCTCTGCCTGGAGCGGGAGCTTCCACTTTTGGTAACCTGCAACACCACCAAAGCGTTGTCGCAGGTAGGAAGCCTCCGCTGGACAACTCGAGGTCCTTCCTGCCATGCTCACCTTATAACGCACCGCAGAAACGCCCACTGTTTTAACATTTCCCAAACTTGTGAATTCCACAAATTACACGTTAGGTGCCCACCCCCTTGAAAGCGCCGGCATCGGCCGAAAATATTCACCCCCGTTGCGGCGGCCATGAGGCCGCTGACGACAATGACGACGGGGACGTCGTGAGAAAACAGGCACGCTTTCTCCTATCCTGTTCGCCCTGACTTCGTGGCTCTTTACTTGCCGTCATCTCGGTTTTTACCAATTTGACTGGACAAGTGCTGTACCCAGATTAACACAGCTTTCGGGGAAAGTGGGCTGGGTGCTTCGCCAGCATTTTACGGAAATGTTTTTCATTTTAGGGTGTACTAAACTAATTTGACCCAATACTTGCAACCTGGAGGTGTTTCCTACGGTGCTCGACCGTTGCGATTTCTCTCCAAGAGCGGAACGACAACACCTTCCCGAACTTCCATTTCTGAAGACTCTTTTAAGCTACAAACAAGCAGGCTGTCCAAATATATGGGCTGTAACAAGAGCCGCATGCACCCATTTAAGACAACCAGCCAAAACGAACGGCCAATTTTGGTTGTGCGAGTCGTATCTGCGGAAAGATGCAAACCTATTTCAGGTTGGCCTTGCCAAAGGTACAACCAGAAAACCATAAAATCCTGAGATTTGCATAAAGTTAAATAAATTTGACTTCAAAGAAAAAAAATAACCATGAATTCAAGCCCCTCTCCCAACTGTTTGGACAAGGGCAGTAAAATATAAAGGGAAAGAAACAGAAAATCCAACCATATCCTGAGAACACACAGAGTGCGGTATAACTTGCAAGAGATGAGCATTTAGATGGTGTATTTGTTATAATGAAATTTCACGAGCAAATGATCAGAAAATAAAAGGTCTGCAGATGGATACTGATATGCACGTTCATCATGGTGTATATTTTACAAGCTGATCAGACAATGAGCATGAGCTCGTAGGTTTGAAAGCTCTTGCCGCAACAAAACTAGTTGTACGGCCAGACGGGACACTCTCACTTATCGCCAACGTTGCCAGCTTTTGCACAAACAGGACATAAAAGTATCTTGCCTCAGTGGGATACTTTGCATCATCCATCTCTTAGTAATAACATATATATATATATATATATACAAATCACCTTTCAAAAAAAAAAAAGTGCAGCTGGAAACATGCAGGCAGGGTTTTGAAGACCTATACTCTGCTCACCCTTAAGCTGACGAATCGGTGCAAGCTAGGCGCCCGATGGACGAATTGACCGCCTCCCTTTCGTCACCTGGCACCGCTATCCATGCATGTGTGAGACAGGGGTCGTGATCACGTCAACAAAGATGAACGAATGACTGCTGCAATGAGCTCGTGGCTTCCATCGCACCATCAGCTTAGGGGCGAATCGGATATACAGAAAGAAACTGAAGGAAAAAATGAGATAAGAGCGCCTGAACGTCGGAGCGCCAAGTTCCGACTGGAAGGATTAGTAGGCAAACGCGAGGACTAGCTGCTTCGATCTCTACCAGCCGTCTCCTCCCAGAACAAACAAGGGGGTCGCCTGCTCCCTGGGCAGGGTCCGGCGTTTGAATGCCAGACACCGGACCCCGCACACAACGAGCAGACGACAGTCTTGCTCACTTCGACAGGAGGGAGACACCGGGTAAAGACAGAGGCAGCAAGCCTTTGTGTTTATCCACTAATCCTTCCAACCAGAGCTTAATGCTCCTAAGTTGCCGTGCGTCCTCCTCTCCTCCGGTTTCTCTCCATAAAGGCATAAAAACAAAAGAAAGACGACGAGATTCAGTCTTGTGGTTGGGCCGGCCGTTTCTTCTCCCTCTTTTTCCGCGCCTTCTTGGCGCTCTTGTGGAACTTGACCCTGGCCTTGGCAAAGTGCGGGATCTGCAACAGGGTGTCCCTGTGCCTCTGCTGCCAGCCCGTCACGGCCGAGAGCACCGCCTCCTGCTGGTCCAGCGATGGCAGCTTCAGCAGAGACCGGACCACCGTCTCCTGCAGCGCAAACTCTGCAACGGGAGCGGATTCGTCCGGCTATGATTCGCATCCGACGACACGCGATGTTGACTTCGTTTAAGAAAACGCTCAAGAGGTCCTAGAATTTGAGAAAAGATAACTGTAAAGGGTGTAATGTAGGCACCTTAAAAATGATCTGTCTTAAGTTGCTTTCTTTTATATCATTAATAGGAGCGTAATCGGCAATTAAAATTTCGACCTAACCCTGCCCGTCGCGGCGTGCTGAGCGTGGGAGAGCGCTAGAGCAGCGAGAGAAAATGGGAGAAGTGACCTCGTCAGCAGGGTCACGCGACCATTGTTCGCCACCGACCTCGCTCGGGGAAGCCGATGATGGCATCACGATGCTTTAGATCATGGGTGGCCAGGCTGACCCGGCCAAAGAGCCGCAAACAAAACCACGAAACTTCCCAGAGCCGCAGATGGGGGGGGGGAATTATGTCCAGAGCAATAAATAAAACTCGAACTACTTTCAATCTAGCCGTGCGTAAGGTAGCAGTAGCACAAGACTACCAACCCGCAACATGTCTTTCGATTTAAAACGCGTTCCCTTTCTCTTTTTGGGGAAGTGCTCGTGTGACCGGGAGGGAGGCGGGGAAAGGGGGGGAGGTTGAAGGGAGGGAGCCACGAGCCGCACTTTAACACGCGAAGAGCCGCAGCTTGGCCACTCCTGCTTTATATAGGCAAACAGGCGCCAGAAGGGTTCACCGCATTCCCGGCGCAATCGCCGCACATATTTTTCGAAGTAAATACAGTTTACACTTTTTTTCCCAAGTTCAGTGCGACAACCGAATTCGCAGGACAAAAAGCTACGGAAGACTGCTCCTAACTCGGACTTCTCGAAAAGTGCTTCGGCTTCGCTGCATTTAAATTTTCCCGCATCAAATTAAAGAATCACCTCACTCGAGCCTCGTTTACACACTTGCGTTTGCTCGGGATCAAGTTTTTGCGATCTCATGCAACAGGAGATTGCATGCTGGCGCCATCTACGAGGTGACCCGGCAACTGCATTTCATTAGAGCGAAGGGTTTTGCGGTATTTCCGAGATCGTACATACATACTATCACAAGAAATGGTCACTTACAGCATTGTCTAAAGTTTTTCGAGCCAAAAAAAAAAAGATATGGGAAACTATGAATGTTCGACTGGCACCCGACAGATGGTGCCAGTGTTGTCCTCTTGTCGCAAGATGTTATGAGAGGAAGGCATACGATCGTAAGCAGTCACGAGTGTGCGAACCAGCCTTTTGACATTCCGTCAACTGCGATAAAAGTGCGATGGCACTCGGTGGGATTTTTATTGAGCGGCGCTTTCCATCTATGCAACCCCCGTTCTTAGGAGGCGGTGCGGAAGAGGAGCGTTAGCGTCTCGCTCGCCCCCCAGCCGTGACATCAAATCAACAGCTGCGCAACGAACTCTGTTGCCGTCGCCTGTTCTTTCTGACAACGGTAACTCCAAGTTGTAAAGTCGGTCGGGGAGGAAACGAGCCTTAACTTGGCCGAGAATCGCCGCCTACGTGCACAAAATAAATCTTTTGTCAGAATAGATCCTAATTAGCGCTCGTGGCAGAGGCACGCCACAGGAAACCGTGCCAAAAACCTTGTCTGGGAACGTGTGCACGATGAAAAGGCGTTTTTCGTTGGCTCACCCGTGTCGTCGCTCGTCAGAAGCTCTACCAGTTTGTCCACGAAAGGCCGCAGTGTAGGTACCGAGTCGACGGGACAGTACTTCCAGATGTCTCCTGAAAATTATGCGAAACGAGAATTGATATTACGGAATGGGGACAATGAAAATTGGCATTCCACGGTGCGATGAATAAGCGGTAATTCACTACGAACTCCTTAGCCACAGGAGCGAATACCGCAAAACGCATACGCGGCACATTCGCGCTTTGCAGTGGGATAAACACGTGAGGACCCGCCACAAACTCGGGCGTCGCAAGAATCGGTGGTGCGCGTGTGGCGGTGGCAATCAATTCATCGAACGACAACTCATCGGCAGATTGTTTTATCTACACGTGATGTTTCATCAACAGGATCAGATTAGCTTTTTTCTGCAATGAGCCACCCCAGACTGTTGCCGCAAAGCAGGGTGAGTGAATGTGCCGGATAGGGTAAAGGGCACCTGCAGAAATACTCTTACACCTGGCTGAGAATCCTCCTCACCCTCTTTTTTGCTTTTTCCCTCTTGTATAGCTGGACTCTGCGGCGAGGGAGAAGGTCCCGTCAATAAGCCTAGAAAAGCCCAAAATGAGCAGCAAGATTTTTTACCCCTCGCAAAGCCTAGCCCTCCAGGTAGATGTCTTACGAAGTTGGAAGGCCGCACCGCCCTTGCAGTCACCCATTTATTTATTTATTTACATTACCCTCAGGGCCATGAGGTGTTAGAGAGGATAGTGGGTGTCTGCTGCTCATTATGAGCTTTTCCAGGTTTATTCTCTCGGAAGGCGAGGTCGCATTGCGAGATCACATTCAAGAGGCGAGGCCGCGTTCCTCGAAGAGGACGGTGTCTCCCTCTATCTTTTGGGTGAACCTGCTCCTGGCACACCCTTGGGAGTGACTGTGCAGGCGACTCATCTGAGGGCTGAGGTACACTATCTACCCCAGGCGCGTTCATTTCCCGCAGGCAACCAGCCCTGAAACCCTTGAGCGGGAAGGCAGGAGCCAAAGGCTTTTGCTGGGTAGGTTCTGGTCGTCAGAGCCTCTTTCTTTTAGCGGACTCCCCCTTCCCACGAAGCTGCCTAATACGGTGGCGTGGGCCCCTCCAGATGAATCTGTCTGATACGACAGCGTAGAATTTCTTAGTCTTTCATTTGTTTGGACGATGGGCAAAGTCTGCAGCGAGATGCCAATAAAACACATCATTCTCTGGATTCACAGACCTCCTGTGTTTCTCCGTGGTACCCCTCAAAGGGGAATCCCACAGCATGGAGAGGAGCGGTTGGTCGCGGAACGCGCCCGAACACGACACTTCGGGTCGGGACAGTTTGGAGGCGTGAGAGAAACTCAAGTTGTAGGACGACTCAATCTTTGGCATCACTGCACTGGCACGGATTGTGCAGGAACTTCAAGATCAGCTTGTGGAAATTGTTGTTTTACTTAAAAAATATTGAGTTCCAAAGTTTCAAATTTTGAGGGTAATGTTCAGGCACCTTTTCCAATGGTTTCGGATAATAAAAAAAATATGATTTTTACCTGTCAGTGCCTCTTTAAAAAAACAACACAACGGGATGTTTCTAAGCACGCTCTACAACTTTTGTATTAGAAGGTTTGCACACAAAGTAGCGTTTAAAAGGTTAACCAATTAATTTGCGTTAAATAGCCCAGTTTGGCCCATCGGAAAAATATCTCGTCTTGCTCCAAAGGAATGCAAACACTACGTCAGCTCAAAATGCGCAGCAAGCACCAGCTTTTTCTAAGTCTTGGCACAAATGAACCGAAACACCCTGTATATCAAAAACATGAAAACTAAAGTACTATAAGTGAGTTGGAGAAAACGAAAGGGGCTGCACATGCCCTCCTCACCCAAGAGCCAAGCCAGGCAAAGCGCCAAGTCCATGGCCTTCCCTTCTGCCCTCTGCGCGATGCACTCGAGCAGCGTTGGCCACACCAGCTTGCCCAAAGCAAAGTCCAGGCACCACTGCCAGGGTTCGCTCCTCTTGCAGACCTCTTCAAACGCCAGGCAGTGCATGAGGCAGAGGTCTGCGTCGATGCACAAATGGCGAAAGCAAACGTTAAGACCCTTCGGTGCCCTGAAGTGATGTTTCTCCCGGAAAATCGACAGAGCACAACTAGGACTTTGCATTTCCGAAAACATCTGAAAAACACTCGTGGGTAAACATTTTTAGGGAGACGGCCAATGCTGGCAAGGTTTCACGGAGGGTCTCTGGGTGTGTACGGTGAAGTGTCGTGGCTTGCTAAATTTAGCAAGGAATCACAGTGTCACGCAACACCGTGACATAGCACGAAGCATTTCTACGTTTAGTGGGAAAACTGCAATGTTGTATGTTGCGTCACGTGCGGCGTTTTCTCGCTAAATTTAGCGGGGAAACTGGGATGTTGCATAACATCACGTGAAATGTTTCTTCACTAAATTTAGTGGGCGGCTTGCGACATCACGTGACAACGTAATCCTTGTACCTTGGCGGAGGAGAAGGAGGAAAACGATTGTGCATAGTCCGTGTGCAGCAGCGTGCCACGGAAGTTGACAGGCCGACTGCCAGCCAAACGCTGATGCAGCGCTCGTCTCCTCACTGATTGGGCGCCGGTGCCAGCCGAACCTCTTCCTCGAGTGTTTCTCTGTTACTCCCAGTGCAGGTGAAACATAGCGTGTTCAGACATACCTCGGTGCTCCATTCCGTAAAGCGAGCGCGCTCCGGGCTTTCCCCAGAGAAAGACATGAGAGAACGACGGAAAAGCAGGGAAAAAATAAAACAAGACTTCTTTGTTGCGACGGGCTGAGGTACCGCAGATTACCGCAAAAGTGTGCATGTCGTTCAAGCGCCCAATATTAAAATTTCCCAAACTCGGGAATTCTGCAAATTATACGTTAAAGGGCAACTCCGGCGATATTTTGAGCAACCCCAACTAACCATATATTCGAAATCGCCGTCCGCTACTCTTTTCGGTATGCTATTTAGTATCGCGAAATTCAGAATACTTTTTGTGAAATCGGCAAATGAAAACGACGCCAAAACGAAGATTCGAATATACCCGCGCTTTTCATTGCCCTGACGTCACGGTTGGGCTGGATTGCAGTTCGAGCAGGCAGTCTAAATATGAACTATGCCGAGCATTTGTATCGTGCTGCTGCGCGGGGGCTGGTGCGACCTTCCAAAGCATTCATTTGACACCATGAAACTGTTTGTAATCAGATGTGAACAAAGTCTACAGCCCAAAGAGTGAACTCCTACCCAACCATGACGTCACTTTTTCAATGTTGCCCGTAGAGCTTTTCACTTTGAAAAACACGATGAGGTCCAAAATTGTAAATTCTGTAACTGAACGGAAAAACGTTATTTTGTCCAAATATTTGGGTTACTAGTTCAGCGATGTTTGTTGGTGTGTCTAGCAAGCTTTTAGGCAAATCGGGGACTATGAAGAAAACGGTGGAGTACCCCTTTAAGTGCCCAATTTGACCGGACAAGCACCCTTGTCTAGATTAACTTAATTTTCAGTGAAAGCGGGGTGGGCACTCCCTTGGTATTTTACGATAGTTCTGAGAGTAGTTCTCTTTTGCTGCAAGCTGGTTCCCAGGCTCTACTCGGCGCTGCTGCGTTCCAACTGTTCTGTTTTCCGCACGATCTATGTACTGCGTCTCTCTCCAACAGGCTTCGAGAACGGTTCATTTACGCCGCAACCACAGAAGATGGCGCCCGCAATTAAGACATCGACGAAGCACTCGTGTACTTACCTTGAGCAGCACGGCCACTTTACGCCATCTAATCTCCACATGTGTACACAGTTTCTCCACACTAACACACCACATTCTGTGTTGCCACTGCCTCTGCCACACTAGTACATCAAAGGGACTTTTTTTTTTTCCATTCCGATTTACAAAACAAACTTGTACTCTTCAGAGCTTCATGTTGTGAAGAGCTAGAGGAGACATAGTGGCCCAGTTGTGTTCTACTTGAGCAATATTACCTGTGACCTTAAAGGCCCGACAGACACTTCACGATTTCCACTTTTACCCATCTTCTCCTTTCCTAGTCTCCACTTTTCACCTCGCATCAAGTTGGTTCCCCTTGCTGCTTAGAAGAGGGGAGCACTAAGAGGTTATCTTCCCTACAAAAAATCGAAATTGTATGTCGACCTTTAAGACATACTCTTTAAGACTTTAAGACGTCGACCTTTAAGACTACTGCGCGAAAATTTGCGCAGCCAAGGTGGGCCACTGAGCAAGGGGCTCAATCTAGTAGCCTTCGCTACGAGCGCAAGCTGTAGCAAAGGTGGTAGTGGCAATTGGAGTTGTCACTCCAACTGCAAAAGCGGCTGCCTCGTGGCCACATCAATGTACCACTTGTATAGAGTGCCAAACTGCACAACTATAAAAAGCCTCAGCAAAGCAAAACACGGCACAAATAAAACAACCGTGGTTCCCCAGACACATACCAAATAGCAGCACTTCCCAGGGTGCGCGCGGTTTTCCACTTGGGCGGGTAACTTTCAAATGCATGATGGGAGATGTGCGTGTACGGTGGCGATCAGGCAAGAGGCATTGCCGTATGTGCCAAAAAAAATAAACGTTCAGCCTTTCCACTCTCGTGAAGAAGGAAGACCAGCGTAGCAGCACTCAATACACTGGGTGCTTCCTCTTCGTCGTCGTCTGTTTTTCGCGCTGCTTCCTACGATGAATTACCACCAACGCGCCCAACTATCCATTCTTCTATTACAGCTGGAAAGGTTGGCGCCATCTACGAGCGACGGCGGAAACCATACTGGATGTGTGCTTGCCGCCGTCGCTTATAGATGGCGGTAGCTGTCCAGGTAGGTTTGTGTCGACATACGCGGACACGATCCTGGGGAACCTAGCCCTTAACAGCTCCGCAGTAAAATATAGAAGAAAATTTGTGTAAAAAGCGTACAGAGACATCGTCTTCCAGTGAACTACTTCCTATTTGAATCGAAACACCGGAGGTCTACGCACCCTTTTCTTACGCGTAATGCATCATGCCCCGGAGTGTTTGCCTACTACTACACTTCATTTCACTTCAAGTCAGAGTGCAGCCGATCTTACGTGCCAAGAGACCAATTAAGCAGTGTTGAAAGCGAACATTACGACATTCACCGTCTTTCTATGCCTGCTCAATGGTGGCTCAGCCATTTAGGCATGGTGCTTTGTGATATAATACATGTGTACGCATTTGTGTCTTCTGGGCTTTGACAGTGCTCTGACCAAAGTGAAACAAAGTATAGAGAAGTTTTCCCCGAATGCTACAGCGATCAACATCTTACGCCGACGACCGTTAGTGAGAACCTCCCCAAATAATTGCCTGCTCGTCTGCCTCGAAAACTTCCGGTGACACCGTCAGCCGTACGATCGCTCCCGGCCACAACACCTGGGAGTCTGGGACTCTTCGCTACGCCCGCTGCCGCGCCCAAACGCGAGCCTCTGGTGGTCGCATTTGAGGTGGCGGGAAACAAAAGCTTACGGGCGCGCTTGGCAGTTAAACAAGCACGCGAGGTGCACAAAGAGCAGTCAACCTGTAGGCCGTACGGGCAGACCTTCGACAGTTCGAAGAACGCAGCTTGCAGTCGCGAAGCGCTGTCGTCACCGCGACACACGTTGTGCGACGGCAGAAATGCACTCCAATTTCTGCTTCACAGATTCTACGCACCTTTCTTCTCGGCAGCGTTCTCTGGAGTGGCGGGCTGTTCTGCCGCCCTTTTGAGCGAGTCGAACAGCTTCTCCGCGACGACCTCGACCGTAGGAGCCTCGTCGAGCGGGTGGATGTCGCCGACCTCGCGCAGCACCGCGTGCGCTTGGGCCAACAGGGTCAAGTTGAGGGTGTGGGGCGCGTGAAAGAGCAGGTGGCGGTACGCCAGGCACACCGCTTCTGCAAGCAGAAACCGCACACATAAGAGGCCGTCCAAACTCGAGGGCGGTGGCCTTCACGCGCAACAAAGCAGAGAGGGAAAACGCAACCTTAATGCGTTGGTTGCATTGCGCGCTCGGCTATTGTCGCAGACAAGGCAAGAACGGCGTCTTTCGAAGGCACGAATGTGCGTTTGAAAGACATGCCCCGTTGTTCTCGTTCTGTCAGTGACCATAAAGTGCAAAATGAGCTGCAATGAGCTGCAGCTAGGAATACAAAAACCTTAAAAAACCTTTAAAAAAAAACAGTTTTTTTTTTTAGAGATATAATTACGGAAAAAGATCAGGAAAGGCACCATTTCTCTTCGTGGTGTCGCTGCTTTGTGTAGTATCCGTTTCGTTCCGAGAGGACAAAAACGCAACTAGGTGAAATGGCAGCCAGAGATCACCGTTGTTGTCTCGAAATGGCACTCACATATTGTGGTGCCCCGCTTCCGTAACTTCTGGAGAGCCATAAAAAAAATGGTTCTGCTGCAGTCCGACATGCAGAAATGCTCTACGGTGCGCCGGCCGTTGAAAGCGGGCAAAGGGCGGGCAGTTTGCAAGTACTGTAAGGTTTCGTGCAGTTTTTGGAATGCCATGTGCGTTATGAGGCACCTTCTTGGCTGCAAGAAGTGTCATCGAGACGCTAAGGAAATGTGCGCTAAGGAACGCAAAACAAAGTTGTCTGAAGGCCAGTCAGAACCCAAATCAAGCGAGTCGGAAGCTGGCCTGAGCGCGGGGACTCCTCGTCGTCTAAAAGGTGCAAGAGTTTTTCCTCATTTGTTGATAGGATCACGCCTGAATTTTGAGCCGAAACTGACGCTTCTTCGGCTAGAGCGATGTATTCATCAAACTATCCATTTCCTTTGACTGCAAGTGAGCATTAGCTTGCAGCCTTCAAGATTCCGCGATCTCCCAGCTCTGAAGCCGCGACAAAAGCCACGCCAACTGCTGCTTCCTGATGAGTAGACCAACGTTTGAAGGAACGCAGTAATAAACTTCGTCGTGGCTACGCCAGAGTGAGTTTTCTACACATCAGTTGAAGCAGGCAAAACCAGCACACTGAGTTTTATTGAAGCAAAGAGATGTGTAAAGTCATTGAGTGGCTTGGAAGGGAAAAAGTGACTGCTCTGATCGCTGACATTGTTAGTAACATGCAAGCAGCATGTAAGATGGTTACTGACAAGTTTCCACATCTTACATCATTTGGATGCACTGCTCACAGGCTGAATATGCTCCTGAATAATATCATGAAGCTAAAAACCCTGGAGAAGGTTCATTAGACATCCAGAGAAGCGATCAAGCGTACTAAGCAGCAAGCGTGCTAAGCAGGCTCACGTAGTTGCTACTAGCTTTCAACAAAAACAGGAGTCAAATATGGTAAAGAAAAGTCTAAGACTTTCGAGCTGCCCAGCAAAACAAGATATACACCATCTCACTTGCTCGGGAACAAAGAAGCGCTTCAAGAGACTGTAACCCTGGAGAATCTGAAGGTAAACAAATCGGTGCAGCATGCGTCTTGAACAAAGAAGGGTTCTGGAAAGTGCCGCACAGCTGTTTGGAACTTGCGACGCTTATTTCCTCGGTCATTACAACATCGAAGTCTGACAAAGCTTGACGTTCCCAAAGTTCTTCATTCCATCAAAACCGAAGTGGTCACAAAGCTGGCGACAACCACTATAACACGAAAAGAACAGGCTCGCACAAGAGAGATTATCAGTAGGTACACAGAATTTTGTTTGCGCCCAATCCATGTTGCAGCAAACTTGCTAGATGCAACATACAGGGGTAAGCATCTGGATGACGCGCAGATTGCGGATCATCCAGACTGGATCTCCCGGTAAGCAGAACACCTTTCGCATGACGTAGGAAAATTTCTTTCTAACATTGCAGAATATATGACATCTAGAGACATTTGGTCCAAGAAAGCACTTTGGGACTTTGCGGATCATCTGGAACCATCCAAATGGTGGCAAGGACTGTGCACTAACCAGAAGTCACATGTGAATAGTAATTTTTGAGTTCAAAGCAAATATGAAGCGAATAGTGATTTAACCGAATATTTTCAAATTGATTTCACTACCGCTGCACCATGCTTAATCAAAAACCCAGCTAAACTCGTGAAGGTTGTTCCCAAGGTTCAACTTGTCTATTTAGTATAAGCTAATTTTAATCTACACCGTAATAGATGGCGGACACCTCCTGGGCAGATTGGCGCAAGTGCCCCTACATTTGGTTGCTTCGAGGCCAGTGTGATGACGAAACCAATGGAGAGGCCGACACATTTGCAGACAGGGAATGCTTTTGACTCCTTGCAGGCCAGTGGCATAGTCAGGAAGTTTTTTCAGATGGGGCTGAGGTGCCTGTATGTCTTATGATTTAAGGCAGGGGGTGGGGTCAAAATGCATGCGTGTATTATAGGGTCGGTCTGGTTTCAGAGGGCGCTGAAGCCCCATCCCTGGCTACGCCACTGTTGCAGGCTGCAGCTCGTTTTGCAAATGCCTACAAACCACGAGACCCCGATCGGGCAGTTGCCCCCTCTCTTAAATCTAGGCTCTCTATACCGACGAAACACAAACTTGGCGCAAACTCGGTACAGTGCGCGCTTCTTTGTTTGCTTCGTGATCCGCGTCGGCGACGGGTCGGTGAGGTCACTCTTGCGCAAAAGTCTACTTTGCTCAAGCACAAATCGGCAACTCATATAGCCACTCCATGATGGCGAGTTGCGGTACCGCAGGCACCTCAACAGGGCAGACAAAGGCAATCTCCTTGACACAAAAACCTCCTGCCATCCTCAATGAGTGCGCATAAACGTAAGAATGCCATCCTCCGCCAACGTCCTCTGCGGTGGCCGTCGCAGCAGTCAACACGGTCCGTGCATAGCTCAGAGGATCTTCTTTCGATCGGAGCTTCTCGCAGTTGGCGAGAAGTTGCTCCGATCTAGCAGAAAATGTGTGCATGCAGGGAAGCCTCGACCACATTCTGCAGGCGCGATAAACATCTGCCTCCGACGGCCCCCATTTTGTTCTTTTTGCGTGTTACTTTAATGGAGTCCAGATATAACAAACAAGCAGATATACCGAAGTGATATCAGATTCCCCTTGACTTCAACATAACCGGCATCAACAGTAAATCCTGCTCTCAAACAACTACCGACTTCACTATCGCACTGTATGTATGTCGATGACTTGCAGATTTCGTGTCAAGGGTTACATCTATCATGTCTCACAGCAATGACAGCTTGGCCTAAACAAGCTCACTGAGTGAGGCAACACAAAGGGATTAAGTTTTTAACAGAAAGGCTGTGGCAGTATTGACTACATGGTCTATTTCCGGAACCCAAACTAACACTCTATAAGAAAACTCTTCCCGTTAGCTAAAGCCATAGATTTCTTGGTGTCATCTTTGACAGCAAACTAACTCTCCAACCCCCCATTTTAGACCCGTGGGACAGGTGTTTGAAAAAGATGAATATCCTGAAAATGTTTGGTGGCACCACCTGGGGGTCCCACCTAACATCCCTGCTCAGAGTATACAGGTCCCTCATCCATTCAGCCTTGGATTATGGCACAATTGAGTTATGACTCAGCAAGAAAGTTAGTTTCTTGAGAGTTAGACCCTATACCACACCAATGCATTCGTCTTAGCTTTGATGCATTTCGGAACCTCACCAGTAGAAAGCTTGTACAACCTGGCAAACGAACCCCCACTGAGCATACGTTGCAAAAAGCTGTCAATTGCATATAGAACATGTAGCATATGCAAATCTTTTTTACAATAAACCACACATCGTACCGCCGCTTGGCATAAGATTACAAACAATGAATGGAAAGTTTGGTATCCAAGTGAATGAAATATATCATTGCGTTGAAGAGCTGGCTCCATGGGAAGACTGTAAAGCACAATGTAATTTCAGGCTGCCGAAGATCAGAAAAGCGACAACCTCACCCATAATATACCAGCAGTCATTTAACGAAATGCTAGGAGAATACAGACTTCTTAAAAATATAGACGGATGGATCAAAAACGAAAGAATATGTGAGTTGTGCTTTTATTACTGAACGAGAGAGTTCAGACTTTCAAGACTCATTTCTACTTTTACAGCAGAGGCCTACGCTGTCCTGGCTGCACTTAACTATGTAGAGTGTGGGTAATGGAACAAGATACATAGTTATCTTCACAGACTCTCAAACTGTATTGCAGTCATTAATAGGTATGCACCCACTCCACCCACTCATCACTGCGATAAGAAAGCATATTTCAGCACTTCAATCAAAAGGCACACACTTGTCTTTTTGTTGGGAGCTGAGTCATGCACAAATTCCAGGCAATGAAAAAGGTGATGTTGGTGCACGAAATGTTCAAGCACTTCAACCTACAGTGATGAACCTTCTGTGGACAGACTTGAAACACGTGCTACACAAACAGATGCACACTCAAGGGGAAGAGGTGTGGAAACAGCAAACCCCAAAGCCAACTTTATACTATAAAACCCCACACTCTCCCCTGGCATTTCTCAAAAGACTTAAAGGGGAACTCTGCCGAATTTTTTAGCTACCTAATCCAAAGGCATCATCGAATGTGCATGGCTTCCGGATTCTGAAATGCTATCTTGTTTCACCAGATTCACTCTAGTTAATTAAAAGAGTGAGATTTTGTTCGCTGCCAAAACCGAAACATTGTTCTCCCTAGTTTTTTTCCCAGTTTACCCCGCCACCCAAACGTGACGTGACCGGCGGGCAGCGAGGCACGGTCGTCAATCGGATATGCTCGCGCCCGCCTTTCGCGCGTCTAACAGTGAGAAAACACGGGCATTCATGAGTTTGTACGCAAGTCGAAGTATGACTTTGGCTTACGTGTTGAGCTATAAGAAAGTAAAAAAAAAGAAGACAAAAAAGATGAAAGCAATTGGGATTTTGAGAAAACCGTTTTTGCAACTCGGTACGCTCAAGTCGCAGCTCGCTAGTTTCGTAAAGTCGC